ATAGATCGAAAGCTTTTAGGATTATCCAAAGACCTGTTTATTTGCTCAGTTTACATTAGCCCAAGCACATCTACAACTCACAAATATGCCGAAAACCACGTGATTGAGATTCTAGAAAAAGAAATATCAAAATTTAGCTTAGTACTGAGGGCTTTATTCTCCTCGGCGGTGATTTCAACTCCCGTCTTGGAAATTTACCTGATTTTGTCGAGGATGACGAGGACGACGATTCACACGATAGACTACCGGTCAGTTCTCAAAATCAAGACAGACAACTCTTAGATAAAGCTCCCCCTAATAAATTCGGCAGATTCCTTACCGAATTATGCATTCAAGCTAATCTTAGGATCCTTAATGGTAGAGTAGCTGGTGACTTGCAGGGCAATTTCACATGTCACCAACCAAATGGTAGTAGCACCGTAGACTTTATAATTGCCAGTCAGCCCCTATTCGAACGCATAACTCTTTTCCATCCTTTAACTCCCTTTTCCGACCACTGCATATTATCAGTTTTTCTCCGCTCTAACTCAAAATACTATTGTCAAGAAGTACAGAAAAATTCGATTTCCGAGCCTCTCCCTAGCTATAGACAGTTTCACTGGGACGAAAAATCTACCCAGGCTTTTCTCTCTTCTCTCGATCAGCCTAACGTTGCTGATAGATTACATGCTTTCTCTCTGAAATGCTCTGACGGCATAACAAACACGACACAAATCGAAAATTATGTCTACGAATTCGGCACAATTCTGAGAGAGGCAGGTAACAAATCGCTTTGTTTAAAAAAAGCCAGAAAACGCCTACACAAAAGACCACTTAAGAAATGGTATGATAAAACATGAAATGAAATGAAACGTGAATTAAAGAATTTAGCTTATCTACTAAGCAAAAATCCATCAAATCCAGAAATAAGAGGTAACTTCTTCAGGAAGAAAAAAGTATACAGAAAATTGCTAAAAAGGAAAAAATGAGAATTTCATCAACAAATTATGAACCAACTCTCCACTCTCAAAGAAAAGAATCCAAGTGCATTCTGGGATCTAATCAACAAGTTAAAACCTGAAAAGGCACAAGATAATTGCCAAATTACTGGAGAAGATTGGCTAAAACACTTTTCTAAACTTGACAAATTATCCGATGTAATACCCAACTCCGAAACTACTGTAGGTAATACCCAACAACATCCCCCAAGTCCTCCTAACCTTACCCCGGTAGACAACTCTATTTTAGACTCCCTAATAACAGTAGAAGAATTAGACAAAGCTATTGCGAACCTAAAAAATAACAAATCAAGTGGCAGTGATATGATTAAAAATGAAATGTTAAGATATGGAAAGTCGATTTTTCAGAAACCATTGCTTAATCTCTTTAACTTATGTTTACAAAATGGATACTTTCCCGAAGACTGGTCGCTGAGCCATATTGTGCCGATTCACAAATCGGGCGATACATCACTTCCAGACAATTATAGAGGAATATCTATTATAAGTTGTTTAGGAAAATTATTTTGTTCTATTCTGAATACCAGACTTACCAATTATGCAGGAGAAAACAGCCTTTTCCAACCTCAACAGGCCGGTTTCAGAAAGAATTTTAGAACAACTGACAATCTCTTTACTTTGAATACCCTAGTTAGCAAATATTTAAGTAGAAACTCACGTCTATATGCATGCTTCGTAGATTTTAGTAAAGCTTTTGATTCCGTTTGGCGAGAAGGTCTTTTACACAAACTAAATCAACTCGGGATCGGAGGCAAATTTCTCCTGACCATAAAAGATATGTACTCCAAAACTACAAATTGTATTAAAACAAAAGACGGTCTTACCGATACATTTGTAACTAACTGTGGGGTTCGACAAGGCTGTAATCTTAGTCCAACATTGTTCAATTTATTCATTAGTGATTTACCATTAGAATTTGATCATCCCTCTTGTAATCCTCCCACTCTACATAGTTTAACAGTACCCTGTCTACTATATGCTGACGATTCAGTAATATTCTCAGAGTCACAAAGTGGTTTACAATCCTCACTGTCCAGGTTAGAAGAATACTGTAAGTCTTGGAAATTGAAAGTTAATCTTAAAAAGACAAAAATTATTGTGTTCTCAAAGGGAGGTCGTTTACCAAAAGACTGTTCCTTTTCGTTTGATAATAATACAGTAGAAATAGTATCATCTTATTGTTATTTAGGCATCATTGTTAACTCAGCTGGTACATTCAAAGCCAACCACAAATACCTTTATAGTAAGGGGCTGAAAGCTTTGTTTGGAGTTAGACAATCCATTGACAAAGCCGATGCCCCATTGTCCGTTAAAAACAAGCTTTTCGACGC